TCTTGTTGATCCGCGGCCTCAATGAAGTCCCGACCGGTGGAATAGGAGGTTTCGCTATCACTTGCTTGGTGACGAATATTCTCCAGCATCTGCCCCAGGGCCATATGCAGCCTAACCTAGGAACCATCTTGCTTGATTTCTTGAATTTCTACGGGAAGCAATTCTCTTATACCACGATAGCAGTCCGGATGGACCCTCCAGGCTATTTCACCAAGGTAAGTGGATTTTGGTTCGCATTACTGTTGACTAGCCAGCTGATAATGTCAAACAGCAATACTTCGGCCACCCCGATCGTCTCACAATCGAAGACCCCAACAACCGAGATAACGACATCTCAGGTGGCACGAAGGAAATTGGGTTGATCTTGCGAGCATTTTCTAATGCCCATACTGCCCTAAAGAATCGCATGGAATATCTAGCACTTGTCCAAGGATCGAACAAGAGCATTCTTGAGCCCATCATTGCGGCGAACTTTGATGAATATGTCGAGCAACGCTTCCAACTCCGTCAGGTGTTCATGGCAGAGGATAGGTTTGCTCGATACGGGAAGTCTTCGCCTCCGCCTCCGCCGCCGGGATCCCCTCCTGCTAATGGAGCATCCCCCCCTCCTCCCCCTCCTATCGACGGAGCCCCCTCTTCTTTGCCGGCACCCCAAGCTCGCAAACCTGCTAAAAGACTCAAGGCAAAGTTGAAGGGCACAAAATCGGAGCCAGAAGATATTTCTTCGGATGACGCACCCGGGCCCGAAGCAAAGTCTGCCAAAGCTCGGAAGGGTGAGACAAGACGTCAGTTGTGTCAAGAGCGTGCGGCCAGACTCAAACGCCTGAGGCCCGACCTCAAGAAACTTCCCAATACCCTCAGCCTCCGCCAAGCTCGCCGCCATGCAGGCTATGAGACCGATGAGCAGATGAATGCGGACTTGGATAGCAGAGAGCAGAAACTTCTCGCCTCGGCATAAATTTGAGTCTCCACTTCCACGCCCGCAACGACTTTCTTTTGGTTTCTGTTTGTATGCTTTATTTTGTATGATGATACCCCTTACTTCGAATGGTTTGGTGATTTGGTGATTTGCACGGGGAAGAGAGGAGGGATGTCAGTGGCGGTATGGTGGGGAAGGTGATATGTTCGTGTGTGCTTTGGCAAACCTGTATGCTTATTCTTCTCGTTGGCGAGAAGCGCAGCCAATGACCGCGGAGATCGAGAATGAGCATTCTTCTTTGGGCCTGAGACGAAAAAGTACTTACTATTTAGGATTCTCTCCCGGACTTCGACCTCGCCAGATTCTGTTGACTTGTCCCTCGGTTGCAATTGATTAGAGCTGTCCTGATGTTGAATTCAGTTTTCGATCTTATTTGATTGAGAACTAGTTTGAATATGGATAAGCCTTGACAATCTCAAACCCTGGATGCCCTTGTTTCATCATCTATTCGAGTCGATCCGGCGCCCCAAACGTCTAATGTTCTCTCGGGTTTCCCTCGACGAGTAACTAGTTCTTGCAGTTCTTCGGTCCCTACACGGGATGCTGTTAGTGATTTCAATGAAACCCCCCCGATGATTATGGATTCGCGCCCAACGTGGATCTATGTTTGTCGGCGTTTATCTTTCTTGCTTTTCCCTTTGCCCTCTCCTTCTCATGCCTTCCTTCTCACCCAGAAAGCGCTAGATGCGACTTCTTGGAGAGGAATAGAGCATCAGGAGCTACCGGGCTCGGGAGCGCAGGAGCGCAGGTCGAACTTGCCTTTTTGCAATCGGAAGGTGGGCCCATCCCACGTGTTGCCGAGTCCCTTCGTGCCTGCAACTTTTCGTCTTTACCCAGAATTATGGAATTACATATTGGAGTTACGAGGAAACATTGGGAGACGCCGTAATGGCTGTATCTCGATCTATTGCATTTATCAGGTTCTATCTCTGATCCTATGCAAGCTGCTTTTCCACGTCTGACGGTGGTGTCAGCATAGGATCCGCCTCAATAGCGGTATCGGATATAGAGAGAGATGGCTTCCGTCCCCTTCTCTCCTCGGCCTCGATCCTCTGCACAGCAGCAATATGCTCCTCGGATAACGAATTCACAAAGTCTGGCGATGGACTGGCCCAGACATAATCAACCCACTCTGTGCCTAAGATATCTTGAATTTCTCGTGCCAGCTGCAAGATATGAACTCCACGCGTACGAGACCAAGCACGGTCCGTGATAAGGTCCTGCTGGGGCGTGAGTATATTCGACGCCGTGGGCACATCCCCCGTCGGGACCTCCAAGCTAGGGGTAAATGGTCCAGGCGATTTCAACTTAGCATCGAAATACGAGGCGTCGTCATCCTCATTCAAATTCTCGAGCCCATCGACGATACTGTGCCACACGCGCAAAGTCTCCTCCAGCTCAGCAATATTACTAACGCCCATAACGCTGACGCCTAGCCTTCTCCCCGTGCCCAAATTGGCCACAGACAAGAACCCAGGATCGGCGTCCGCAGCCCGAGCAAGCGGCGCACCGAGACCGCCAGCCCGCGCACCAACACGCAGCCACGCCTCCAGCGCAAACCGAATCGCAACAACCTCAAGCTTCTCTCCGTGGCGCGAAGCACAATCCGCGGCAATACGGATAGCCTTCCGCAGAGCTTCAGGGGCGGGATGGAAATCGCCCATCGAGCCAATAGGCACGCCGTCGCGACGAAGCAATCCCATCCCCAGCGGCGATGCGTTCGGAACGACATCAACGCCAGCAGCAAGTAGCCTGGGTAGGGCATGCGAGTGCAGCCGCGTATTCTGCAGAGTGAAGTTGGCGTACGACATGACGATATCGAGCGGCTCACCCGTCTCGCGGAGAACCGTCTCGGCCAGATCGCTGAGCGTGTCGACCGGGTAGCCAGAGATACCGACGTAGCGTATCACCCCCTCTTCATCGCGGAGACGGCGCAGCTCCTGCACCGCGACGACAACTTCCGCAGCCGTCACGAACTCCACGTCGTGGCAGTACACTACGTCCAGGTAGTCTGTGTGTAGGCGTTGCAGGCTGCGTCGCACGCTGTGTCTAATCCATTGAGGCGAGTAGTCGAATGAGGAGCCGGCTATGCGCCCGACTTTAGTGAGGAGGTGGTATGTCTCCCGTGGGAAGTTGGCTTGCACGGTTTCTGTTGCGAGGGCGCGGCCGAGGAGTTCTTCTGCGGGGCCGTAATAGGGGGATGTGTCGAAGGCGCGCACACCGCGCGATAATGCGCGCTGGACGAGTTCTGTTGTTGGAAGCGCGTAAGGGTCGGCATTGTATTGGGAGTTAAAGGTTGCGGTGCCCATTATCAGCGGAGGCAGCGCCGCGGACAGTGGGGTGGAGGGGCGCATGGTGTGGGTTGGGAGGCCAATTTCGTCAATGCCGAGGGGCTGGCTATGGAGGCTTGGGTATTGAAGATTGGTCAATTGGTGAGAGTCTTTTCAAATTGTAAGTGTATCGACTATATTTTCTCCAGAAAAAAAAGGAACCCCCCTTCGGCTCCGCTTCGGATGGCGCAATGGCGGGGGATTCCCCCCGAATCGGGACATATGGCCACGATCCGATCGATCGGCTTTGCGTTACATCTACTCTTTCGAAGGTTTCGGTTGCGTGGATTGAATGTCCCCTTGATAGAAGTAGGCAGTGACAACGTGAAAATGTTTCTGGCAAGGCGGCGGTGGCAAAAAGGGACAAAAAAGTCAATGTAGATCCCGACAACTACGATGCATGTATATGAATCAACAAATCTAGATCGGACATTACACACAAGTTAATGCAAGTATATAGCTATTGTACATGAATCCTTTCCGAGTGAGAGTGGAGAAAAGGTCAACGGAACGCGGCGCATCACAAATGATATACATAGACCGAAAGGTCGATGAGAAGGTCGGACATGAACACCTTCATATCCGACCGGAGATGACGCCCGAGGAAATCCGGGGGCCATCTTAAGACATCACAGAGAAAGACCCCAATCTAGAAAATCAAGGCGTCTTTCTCTAACAACCCAAACGCCATGCTATGCCAAAAAAACGAAAGACGAGCAGATCGAAAACAAAGAAGCCGGTTGGGGCCGGAGGCTTCTCTCGCAGGAAGTATAGATGTGCTCGTAGAAAAGCCGGGGGCCCGGGGAACCGGAGAACGACGCTTATTGTTGTGTTCAATTATCTTTGTAGACCTTGGGGTTCCATCCTTCCTTCAATTCCTTGTCGTGCGCGGCTTTGCGCTCGACCTCGCGGAACTCCATTTCCAGACGCTCGCGTGCACGCAGAATCTTACTTTGCAGATAGAAACTGCCGCCTTTCTCGGGATTGTTCGTATCGAACAGTTTCTTGAACCGAGTCATGACATGTTCGAGGTCGTGTTCGCCGGACGCCGGGGGCTTGACGTTCAGGATTTTGCAGGCTTCATCGATGGTCACGCTCGAGGTGGTAGTAGATTTTCCGGCTGCCTTTTGCTGCCCAGCGTATTTTCCGGACGCCTGGGCTTGTTTGTAGGCTTCGGCGAAGGCGCGGCCGAAGACCCGGGCTCCGGTCACGACAACTTGAGAGACGATGCGGTGAGCCTAGTAGTTTGTTAGATTTAATTTTAAGAATGGGAAGAATAATGAGATGAATGAACATACCATTGAGAAAGTGCCGTGGAGGAGGCGATCGCGATGTTATAGGTTGAAGAAGGAAAGATGAGAAGGGGAAAATTTCGGCTGCGGGTTTTAGCGTCCGGAGCTCCAGGCACGGGCATGAGTATAGGGAACGGTAGTATAGCTAGCGAGGTCATTCTAATTCGAGATTGAAGATTAAAAATGAAGTATTTATTATTTACTATCATCTACATAGACATCCATTCTAAAAAAGATTAAAAATTAGAACAAAAAATAGAAATCAAAATCCTTCACACCGTATACGAGAGTCACATGTCCACAAGTTCGATCTCCCCGCAGATCTTCTTAGACCGAACATGATCCTCACTCATCCTAGACGATGAGCTCATTGTCACTCTATGACCTGTCCATAATTGGATGGCAGCTTTAGGTATGCTATTTGATCATACCTAGCCTTAAACACGGTCCCTGATGAAAAAGAAAACAGACAACCTTCCGTGGATAGACTCCATGTCGCCCTCATCGAACACCCAAGATCATGGCCAGTCGGACTCTCAACCGCCGACGGTCGCTGCCTTCTCTCCGTCGACGATTACCGGCTCGGCTCTGACCTCGCGCCAGCGCTCCAGTGTCATCGTACATCGAAAATCACCTCTCCTAGTGGCCACACCGCCAGCTATCACTCGAGCCTTGGCATACTCGCACCCGTTCATACTTCCTCTAAATAAATTTGTTGGTATCCTGACATGGACTTCTGGAGACCCGTGGCAGAGTTTTCTGCTGGTATCTACCTTTTGGACTATCGTGCTATATGGCGATACTATCATTCTTTGGGCAGGACCGATCCTGGTCGTGGTCACGTTGATCCTCGGCATGTATGGACGTCGTTACTCGCCTCTGTCGTCAACTGCATCAACAGGCGAAAAGCACAAGACCAAGGTTGCCCCAGATAGCTCACTGCGTCATCAGAAGAGTCTTGATGAAATCGTTGAAACCCTCCGTATCTTCACAACCAGATGCAATATTCTCCTCGAACCTCTACTCGACCTCACCGACTTCCTATCCACCCAACGTACTCCCACATCGGCGACTACAAAACCTGCGCTGACAGCTCTGTTCATCCGTATCCTCTTAGTCACCCCTGTCTGGATCGGTCTGACTCTACCTCCATTCTACATACTCACCACACGCCGCGTCGTCATGACCGTCGGCACTATTGTTTTGACCTACCATTCCCGACCCGCCAGGGTGTCGCGTGTCATTTTGTGGCGGTCTAGAGCCGTGCGTCGGCTGTGTGCCGCAGCTACGGGCCTCTCCGTCACCGATACCCCGAGCAGTCCACAAAAGGCCCCAGCTCAAGCCGAAGGCGAAAAGCAAGGCTTAAACATTTCAACGCGGCGGCGTGGAAACAATGCCGGTGTGCGGTTCACGTTTGTTGTCTATGAGAATCAGCGCCGCTGGCTGGGTATCGGGTGGACTTACTCGTTGTTCCCCGCAGAACGTGATGCCTGGACAGACGAACACATGAACGCAGTGAATCCCAAGGATTCCTTTGAGTTACCAGAAGTTCAAACAGGAGATGCCAAATGGCGCTGGGTGGAGGGAAGTGAATGGCGCATCGAAGGAGCGGACAACTTTAATGGAAAATCGGACTCGAAGGGGTCAACCGGCGAAGGATGGATCTACTATGATAACAAGGTTGGTGCTTTCTCTCTATACCTTTTGTTTATTATCTTCTAACGGAACTCTAGTGGAATGACGGTCGCCGCGGTCAAGACGGATGGGATCGCTATACCCGTCGACGCAAGTGGTACCGTGACGCTGAATTGGCGGACCTATCACCTCAAGACACCCAGAGTTCCTCCGCAGAAACCACTTCCGGGCTCACGCGGGCACTCGAAAAGGAGAAAGAACAGACGAACGACGACAACGCCGACGCACAAAGCATCGCGCCATCCACCTCCTCCAAATCTCAACGTCGGCGCTGGTTCAGCGGTACCTATGACAAGGAAATGACTTCCCCTAGCGGGCCGCCCGCTGACAGTGGGCGTGCAAATGCCTCGCGACCCATCAGCATCAAAAATGCCCGTAAATTGTCTCATGCCCGCGAAGGAAGTGTGACAACTAGTGACAGCGCCAGTTTGCGCGAGAAGGAGATAGCGAATTCGCAAGATCATCTCGACCGGTGGTCAACTCGAGCTGCGGGCGGGACGGAAAGGGCCGAAAGGGAATGGGGGCTGAGCGATGAGGTGAACATGGGGTTGAGTTGATCGTGCGTTCTACACTCATGTATGCCATCATCCTTGCTCGAATTCCGCCATTTTCTACCTAAGGCATGGCCTTATATATCCTTATATATTCTTATTGTTCTTTGAGCGTAAACGGCGGAATTGTGAATTGCCTTGTCAAGTTATATCTTTTTGCCCCAATACGTAAACGGTAATGGACGGAGGACGGAGTAGAGGTGAGGCTATCGCAAGGCTTATAGGAGCAGTGGACGGTCAAAATTTCACATTCCCTCAGATTCAAGGTGTGAAACGAGGGCAAGGCCACTCATTTAGTATAATTAATGCAAGATATGTACATCTTGTCTAATATTAACAGGATTCAGGAATAGAGGCACCTCCAAGATCCACGTCCGGGTCTGTTGCAAATTCCAACTCAAGAGCAAAAAACCTTGTTCAGATCGCATAACGGAATTCTGAGTTCTCACGGTCTGTTAGGTCCAAAAACTCGTGGTTTTCCGGAACGACGTAAGCATCACCCAATGCCTCCCTCTCCTTGTCGCGTCGGCGATTCTCCCGTTGCGATATCCACCAGATAATGCACAAGTCGAGCGTGACGATGAAATACAGGATGCAGATAGAGATTTTGGCCGGCAAATACCCTGGGGCATCTTTGGCTTGGAAGGTCTGTGGCGAGATGATGTTGCCGACAGTATAGGCGATCGTCTGGATGCAGGACACGGTGATCTTCTTAGTTGAGCCAGCCACATTGGTACTGGTGAGCCCAAGAATCGTCGTCCATCCGAGTGGAATGCCTCCGGTGAGGTAGTATCCCACAAGCGCCGGCACCCTGTTGGTTGTCGCCATTAAAAGCGACCCCACGATTCCCACGATATGGGCTACAATGCACCAGAACAGTCGTCGTTGTGTCTTCATTGCCAGATATGTCAGGCCAATCAGAACGACCACCTCATAAGCACCCAGGGGTGTTACAAGCAGGAGACTTTCCGTTTTCGAGAAGCCCATGCCCGTTACCATGATATTCCCGAAACTCGTGGCAATGGAATTCGGCACATTTGCCGCCATGACCCAGAAGGCGTAGAGCCAGGTGTGCGGGTCGGTAAGGGCTTCGTAAAACTGGGCTTTTTTGAAGACATTGCTTCCGATGCCCTGTCCGTTACCCCGAAGACGCTCCGCGTGCATTGCCTTTTCTTCCGGGGACAAAAAGCCGGCCGTTAAAGGGGAATCGGGCAGGAGGAAGAAGAAGGAGATGCCGGTCGCTACGGTCAGCAGGCCCAAGATCAGGAAAATGACCTGCCAACCTCGCAGAGACGCGCTTGGATCCCCACCGATGTGCGTTGCTACGCCGTATGCGACGTAGCCGCCGAACATCTGCGCAAACCCACACATGGAGAACCACAGGCCAACGCGGAAGGCCTGTTCCTCCTTCCGGTACCACTGCGAGGTGAAGACTACCCAGGCAGGTATGATGGCGGCTTCTGCGGCGCCCAGAAGCGTGCGACAGACCATCAGGGAGGCGAATGACTTGCATGCGGCCATACAGGCCAGGATGGTGCCCCAGATGGTCACGTTGACGGCGACGTATTTTGCCAGGGGGAATGATTGCATCACGCGCATTGTAGGGAAGGCGAACGCCAGCTGACCGAAAAAGAAGATACTCGACACCCAGTTGAATTGGTTGCCCTTGAGGTTCGTTGACTCGCGCATCCCCGTGACACTGGCATAACTGATGGCAATTTTGTCCAGATACTGCAGGAAGTACACGATGCAGATCAGTGGCATGATATACATATCAATCTTACGCAACAGTCGTGCAGATGCTGCGGGATCGAGAACGCTCGGCGAACCGCCTTCCAGTAACTGCAATGCTCCATCGCCTGATGTAGACTTGACATGGGGGGTTTTTTCGTCGAGTTTGGGCGAGACGCTCTCTGCTGGGGAAATTGTTAGAGCGGTCATCCTGACGGTAGTAGCGATGATATCCACCAAGTGGGAATTCACAGAAGAGACTTACGTTTGCCTTAAGTACCTCGTAACGGCTGGGGATTTGGCCACCAATATCGATGGGCTAGCACGCCATCACCCTCCGAGCTGTCACAATAAATCCTAACAGTTGCGATTTTTGGGTCGTAAGTGATTTTCTTGGCCGTAGTGGGTACTCGCAAGCGAGGATAATTTATCTCAACCGGAGCCCCGAGCTTGACCGGTGTCAACCCCAGCGATATAGCAGGTTGACTTATGGAGTAAGAGAATTCAAATTGAACATCGCAGCATCTCACCAGGCTAGATATAGCCCAATAAGCATTCTAAAAGGAAATGCTTAGTAAACAATATCATTAACAGGATCCGTTACACGTGGGACCCACCGAAAACAAGGGTCTGATCCCCCGGTTACCCACTACGGGTAGGGTCGGATATCCCCGGTTCCCACCCCGTAAGCCGTTCTATACAAAAGGTACATAAACACAGCATAACATTCTCAACCATGGAACCCTCAAGGTGTATACATCTATAGATACATGTGTATATAAGGGTTCCATTGAACTACATGTACTCCTAAGATTGGATATAGATATAGAAAACATACTTGATATATATTTCATAACAATCCGATATTCGTATCATTCATCCCAACATAAACCTTGGTCCCTAGCTCAATAAATATAAATACAAGAAGACTAAAATCTAAACCGCCGTGACTATCTATGCAAGAATCAACTCCCATCCCAGTTCCTCCACAATATCTAACCAATGCACATTTCTCTGCCGACCAATCCCAGTAAACCGAGCTTCAGAATTAACATCCTGTCTCGCCCACAAGATCCCCAATAAATCCTTTGCACGCCTAACATTCCCAATCCCAAAGTTATCCTGTAGCTTGCCCAAGGAACGAAGCACAACCTCTCTGTCCGCTACATCATCACTCTCACACCCGCAGATAAAGATAGGGAACGTGAGCGCCGAGTACTCGCAGTGGTCACCCAGCGGGAAGGTTTCAATGCGGCCAAGACAGCGGTAGACAGCGACATTTTTCGGTGTGGAGATGAGAGGAAGCCAGTCTTGCGCTGAAAGAGATGGGACCTCCTCTAGCTGGGCGTTTACAATGGCACCAGGGCTGGCAGCGGGAGGGGTATTAATGCGCTCCATGATCGAGTGGAGATAGACAAATCCTGCGTCACGGAAGCATTCAGCTACGAGTTGAAGCCGAGTTAGGGTTGCTGTTGGTGTTCCTTGGGGGATTGTGTAGGGAATTGAAGTGTGAGACCAGGCGAGGAGGGATTCGTTTCTGAGATGGGATGTTAGTGCGGATGTTCGACTGGACTATTTCTTCTGTAACCGGAGAGAGAGAGAGAGAGAGACAAACATGGATGCAACACTGAGTCGAAGAGCCAACGTATCAGCTTGGAGAGAAGGCAGCTCTGCGATACGGGCACATAAATTGAGGAGTTCCTCTGTATATCCAATATAGATATCCAATTTTGGGATGCCGATATCACTGTCGACAAGAATATCCGTAGCAGTGATACAATTGCGGTTGCTGATTCGGCCCATGTTATAGGCATACACGAATCTAGATGTTGATATATTATATTAGCGTTCGGTAATATACCTTGCAGGGTGTCATACATACAGTCCACGAAGGAACTCGGCTGCATCTCGATCCATTGAAGCGAATCCACCGCGTGAAACGATCAGACGTTGCAATGCATTGAGATGAACAACCCACTGCTTAACGCTACCACGCACGATCTCATATTTGCACAATAGACCGACTGCTAGCATGGCATCGTCAGGGAACATCTCCACTGAACACTTGTCTAGTGCTGTGCGGAGTCCATTGAGCGTTCCACTATAATATTTGAGTGCAGCTGTATGTGCTCCAAGCCCTTGGGAGCGATTTGCTAGATGAAGAGCAGAGATGGCACATACAGCCTTCATCAGCAGAGGTGATGACATTGCCCTGGGGATCAACAACGATCGAAGGGGATTATCATGGCTTTCTAGATTTGCTATCAGTCGAGATCCCTGCTCCATGTGATATTGGAGGAAGTGAGTCTCATGTGTTGTGAGATGACTGATATATCCTTGAAGCTGTGGGATCACTGCGACAGAGTTATGCAAATCTATAGTCGGGCTAGGACTGTATTCTTCCGCATCTTCAATCGAACTGGTAGCTTCCTCATACGAGACATATCCTCCAGGAGAAAATGGAACGGACCAGCTCAAGGAAGTCCCCGGCCCAGGGGATAAACGAGTCTCAAGCCATGCGTCCGATGATGGGGACGGTGCAGGCGAAGGGAACTGAGATGGCGAGGACGCACTGAGCCGTCGGCGTTTTGAAGTTTCCGTCTGTGAGAATACCTGCGCCGATGGACTTAGTGGCTCCACCCATATAGAGCCGTAGCCCTCGCATGCCCGGCCTTGCTTGAGACAATTATTGCAACTGACCAAATCAGTTACGTAACTAAATCAAATTCTAACTAACTAGCACGCACCTTGGTTTGGTTTTATCACAGGCCTTGCGCCTCTTTTTGCAGGTGATGCATCCCGAGCGAGTCCATGCCGTGCCAGATTGCCGTTTCCTACCCTTTTTCGGGGCGGAAGTGGGTTGGCCGGGTGTGAAGGAAGACGATTGCGCCGAGCTATTCACAGGAAAGGCATTCATAGTGTCAAGGGGCGCCTGGGGGATATGGAGATGCTCTAACAGGTACTATTGACAGCATGCTTATCGCAGATATTAGACAAATTCAGACATGCATGCGCTGCGCAGAGGAAGATAGATAATAATGTATACGGCAGTGCCCTAGGCGCTGATTTGGTCACATGGGCGGTGTACCGACGGTAACATCTGCCGCCGCCGAAAAGCCGGCCCGGCACATAACTAATGGGGAGTAGGGAACATAGGAAAAATAGGAAAGTAAGAAAGAATATAAAATTTCCGCCCTGGTAACCGGGGTTGTGTGAAAGGGAGTAAGGCCTCGCTGCGCGCCATGTGCTGTACTGGGACGGTCGTGAGGAGACAAGAAGCAACAAGAAGAAAGACATGGCGAGGCAGACGACAAACACCACCACTCCTTTGGATTACCCTATGGTCTCTGAGCCACGGGGGTTTTCTGGCAGGCTCTTCGAGACGGAAGCGACTAACGGGCTCGTCTGCCGATAATCTTCAACCACTCCCGGCCACAACGGCGGACATGCTCGTCTTCGCAAGCACGCTGCTTATTAGAAAGCGGAATTACCGCTCCCCCGCCTAACGCTAGACTTGCAGCAGAATCACCAGGTATCAGGAATCGTGATTTTTCTACGGAGTAGATTCCGTAGTCATTGTATTCGGTGTCACGTGCTAGGTCTTGCAAAGAAGAGTGCATTCAGTTCAAAATGACGAAGATAGAGACCTAAAGATGAAGCAAGTGAAGAAGCAAGAGATGGACTGCTCATATAGCTGGCGCTTCTGTAAAATTTGCAAACAATCTATGGAATAAAAAATAGTAAGCGAACGAGCAAATGAACGAAAAAGCAAACATGAAGCATCTGATAGCGATCTATAGTAGATCGTGACATCCGGGATACCGTAGTAGTATCAACCATGATACCATGGCTTCTTGCTTCATACTCACTTATTACAGTATCGAAAATGCGGCATTGTACCATTGCTACGTAGTGATCCATACGTAAGAGAAGTATGTATCACTTATCGATAGCAAATCACACTAAACCTAATTTGGACAATTTCACGCCGACCCCACAATTGTGGATTAGAGATCATGTGACTTTGCGCTTTAATTGATCTCCTCCCATGCTAGGATCAATCAGTGTAGATCATTGAGATAGTTGAATTAAATTAAAATCAAATTTGTCAGTTGGTCGAGTCTTATCGCTATGAGTTTAACTCCGTATCTCCATCTTTACTCCACGTTGCCCTAATCTATCAGAGCCAAGACTCTTCTTCTCCAACTGCCCTGGTTTTTTTACCCAATCAGGCAGGTCCAGCCACACCTTATGTAACCCGATAAGAGGCCCGGGGCAGGGCCCCTCAGGTGCGAGATATTTCAATGTACAACATTGGGGGTAAATTCTCTCATTGGATACCTTTCTTGCCCTCTTTCCTTGTCCCCTCCCACTTCTCTGTGGATTCGTGGGATATTTCCACTCTAATACTTCCCATAGCCGCCTCAGATCTCTATTTCTGAAGTGTACCAGAACGCCGCCAAAATGGTAACCAACCACGGCCCGCACCCATTCGACCCAATCACACCGGAGGAGATCAAGCTCGCCGTACGCATCCTTGAGGCGGCCTTCCCGGGTGTCTCTCTGCGCTACAAGCGAATTGATGTCAATGAACCTATCAAGAGAGATGTTATCGCATACATCGAAGCAGAGCGTCTACAGCGGCCGCTACCCCCACCTCCGGCCCGTCTCCTCTATGTGCTCTTCCACCGCCTGGACACCGGCGCATTCTACAAGGCTATCCTCAATGCCGACAGGCGCACCATTGTCTATGCCAAGGAGCTTCCCAAGGAGGTCCAAGTACGCAGAGCCCCTCTCCCTCACGATGCAAGCAATGGGTTAATCAATATTTCCGCTCTATAGGGTCCCATTGACATCGATGAAATTGCCGGAATTGAAGAGTTGTGCATGAAGCATCCCGCCGTACTAGCTGAGATCGAGAAATTGCAGCTGCCCCCGGGCATCACTGTTTGTAATGACCCTTGGATGTATGGCACAGACAATGACAACGAGGACCGACGGCTCTTTCAATGCTTCATGTACATGGTCGAAGTGGATCACCCCCAGAACAATCACTACTCTCTGCCTTGCAAATTCTCACCCGTGTTCGACGGTCTCACTCATGAGTTGATCCGTATGGATTACCTGCCTGGTGGTGCTGATTTCGAGACTACCTCTACCCAGCCTTGGAAGCCTGTCAAGGCAATCCAGTACGCTCACGACCTCTTGGATGAGCCCCTTCGCACCGATCTCAAGCCATATATCGTACAACAGCCCGAGGGCCCTTCTTATTCGGTGGATGGCAACTCCGTCTACTGGCAGAAGTGGCGCTTCAGGGTGGGGTTCAACGCTCGGGAAGGGTTGATTATCTACAACGTTACATATGATAACAGAAACATCTTGTACCGTTTGGCCGTTTCTGAGATGACTGTTCCCTATGGAGGTGAGTCGGATTGGAGCCTCATCACCCCTAACCCCCGGTAGATCTGACGCACATGCATCTAGATCCCAGAGCCCCCTACCACCGCAAGCAGGCGTTTGATGTCGGTGACACTGGTTTTGGTATGAATGCCAATCAGTTGGCTCTTGGATGTGATTGTCTCGGCCATATCAAGTATTTTGATGGTTACCGCAACGACTCCAAAGGCAACCCACTGCACCTGAAGAACGTGATTTGCATGCACGAACAGGATAACGGCTTGCAGCATAAGCATACCAACTATCGGACCGGTGCCGCTACCGTTGTGCGCAACCGCCAATTGGTTCTACAGATGATTTGCACTGTGGCCAACTATGAATATATCTTTAACTACATCTTTGACCAAGCCGGCAATATCGAATTAGAAGTCCGGGCCACCGGAATCCTTTCCACCGTTCCATTCGACAACGAGAATGGGCAAACCGTCCCCTGGGGTACTAACGTCGGTCCTGGTGTTATGGCTCCTTTCCACCAGCACATGTTCTCCCTACGGATTGACCCTGCTATTGATGGATTTAAGAACACCATCTATTACGAGGATAGTGTTCCTATGCCAGAAGATGAGAATAATCCATACCTTGTGGGCTATACCTCCGAGTCTACGGTGATGCACACGGCAGGCACAGCAAACACCAGCGTGGATCGCCACCGCGTCTTCAAGATCCGGAACGACAATATTACCAACCCAATCACTTATAAGCCTGTTGCATACAAGCTTATGGCAGCTCCTAGCCAAATGCTTTTGGTCAACAAGAAGGCCCACGGCTTCCGCCGTGCTGAGTTTGCCACCAAGCCGATCTGGGTCACAAAGTACCAGGATGATGAACTGTACGCTGCAGGCGAGTTCACCAACCAAAGCCGCCGCGCCGAGGGCGTCGAAACTTGGGTGCAGCGCAAGGACAACGTAGAGAACGAAGACGTCGTCCTTTGGCATAGTAAGCATTCCTTCCCACGACTTGATCTGTACTGTATAACTAACAACCCCTGCAGCCTTCGGTCTTACCCACAATCCCCGCATTGAAGACTTCCCCGTCATGCCGATGGAGCGCATTAGTGTCATGCTGAAGCCTGATGGATTCTTCAACAAAAACCCGGCTCTTGACGTCCCTCAATCCTCCCAGTTGTTCAACAAATCTTCACTCTACCCGGAGGAGAAGCCTGCTGCCTGTTGTGCCGGAGCTTCGTCTGCTGGCCCCAAGGCCAAGCTGTACAAGTGCATTGACTAGCTCGATTTCTTTTGAACCCATAGATACCCCATACCCCCATCCTACGGTTCAAGCACTATTCTTTGTTTTTTTTTTATGAATCGGCTTGATGACTCCTTTGATTTTCTTACTACCCTTTTCGGTTGGCCTTAACGATACCTTATGATGTAAATACCACCTCTATAAACACCATGTTTCGATCAATATTTTCCTACATTTAATGCCAAATATATCGACTGCAAGGGGAGCAAGATACTAGTAAAATTGTGGTTATATCTATTGTTGAATTACTTTGCACGTGAACTGATATATATTGACAACGGAGTAGTAGATAATAGTGCACAGAAAATAGCAGATGGCCTCATGTAAAAAAATCTGTGGAACGCCGAAATGAAAATGGACAAGAAAATAGATGTAGAGCACAAGATAAAGAAAAGGAGGAAGAGATCTCAATGTAGATCCAAAAACATATCGCTAAGATCATTTCTTCATATGATGACTAGCATGCTGAAAGCCCGAAACCAATGATGTTACCGACGGCCCGAGTCAGAGCTGTGAGGAACATGACTCTCAAACAGGTCCTCAAGGTATGCGCTAGGAGCACGACCCTGCGGCGCTTGATTGAGGTTCAAGGAACTCGTCGAGGCACCCACATAAGAGTGGCGCTGGTTATGCGAATCATGGTAGACACCAACAGGAGGCAGAGAGGGCGACGATAGGCCAGCAGTGGGCGAGTAAAGAGGCTCTCCATTTGGAGCGGGGTTGGAGCCACCGGCAGCGGCGTAGTATCCAGCAGGCAGGTATGTTGAGCCACGATTCCCCGTATTTCCTGTAGCGTGCGGATTTGCATGCGATCCAGTAGGGCCGCCTGCTGTAGGTGAAAAGAAAAGACCGCTGCTTGTGCTCGAGACCCGGTTGGGCTTGTAGCTTGCGCGAGTGGCGGTGCCGAGTTTATCGAGAGATACGTCGGCCACCGGGGCGACGGGGTAGGGGGTTGATCGCTTCTTTCTGCTGCCGCGCAGGAGGCGCTTGGATTGCGAAGCGTGCCTTACTGCGGCGCGCCGCACTGAGCGATTTACGGACCATGCGACCATTGCGCGCCACGCGAGCAGAGTGAGGCCGATCAGCCCTAGCGCGGCGCCGACGGCGATGAACACTGTGCCTTCTGGAGCACTGCTCTCTTTCATATATGGGGCATTGGCTATGGGTGGTATCGTCACAACAGCGCCGGTTGTGGTGGAGGAGGATGTTGATGATTTCGTTGTCGTGGAGACGGATGATGTAGTTGTACTGCTGTCGGACGTCGTGGAGGAGGAAGAGGAGGATGTGGTGGTTGTATCCATGGTTGTACTTGTCGAAGAAGAGGACGTCGTACTGGTGGTAGAACTTGACGTCGATTGAGAAGTGGTTGAAGAAGTGGTTGTCTCACTCACGCTAGAAGTGCTTTGAGTGGTCGAAGGGTCGTCGGTGGTCTTAGCGGCATCAGTATTTGTTGTTGTATCGTCCGCTGGTACGGCAGACACTTGAGCAGCGATGACAATGACCAGAAATAGTAGCAGTAGGGATGACGGCCTGGCTGTTCCAAGCCTTTGCGGTAGAACTCGCATGGCAGCGTAAACAATCGATCAGCTGCTCCACAATGTGCGGGTCAGTAGGCGCCGATCCCAACGACAGCGAGGAACAAAGCAGATTATTATCAATTTAAATCAGCGCATCAATGAAATCCGTTTGGCAAATTTAAGATCGCTGCTGGTTCCAACAATGACTGCGGTCTCTCGTGAAATATTGGTAGATGCAGGTCAGGTCACGGATCAACAATCAACGAATTTCCATATGGGGTGAGGCGTTGGGAAACTCTCATAAACGAATGACTGTTGTTCAAGTGAGGCCAAGCAGTTCCCCGAAAATGACTACAAGAAGAGACCTTTCTAACCGAAAAGACGCCAACGCTAAAGGAGAGGGGTGCCTTAGGCAACCCTGAGATTGTCACCTGACAGTCAAAAAAAGATACAAGGACTTGCGCATTTACGTTGGCAAATCTAACATTCGAAAAACTGGGAGGATATGAGATATCATACATGGGAATACAAGGTAATTGTCCCTGAACCCCCGATAAAAAAAAAGGAAATCAATTGCAGCAATGGGTGGAATCCAAAAATATAACCCAACAAAGCGCTACAAATCACTGCGCTTTCTTTTGCACAGCAGCCGAGGTGTCCTTCTCAAATGCGGCATAGGGAATCTCGAGGCTGCTTAGAGCACCGATGCCAATATACAAAATTGCGAGGAACAGGAAGGTAGCCATGAGTCCCATGAAGATGCCTGGAGAAGGGTGAGCATAGTGAATAGATAGAAGGTGGGATTGATAGATACATACCTGGGGTGAAGTATTGATATTCTTCGAAGAGAGAGGTGGAATTGGCCGACTGGCTCGAGGCGCTGCCTTGCGCGGAGTAGTCCCGCTTGAGCTCCATGTGGAGGGTGTCTTGGTACGAATCTCCAGAGATGTCGTAGATGACGGAATCCGTCTCGGGGAACTCCCTCGGTGAGGTAATGTAGAGAATAGTATACTTAGACGAGGAAGGAATTCGATCGGCGACATCGGCAAGGAAACCATCTAGCAGAGTTAGTGAGAAACAAGTGCATAGGCGGACTGCATACATACCAAATCCAGAAAGCTGCTGTGCGCGGTCGGAACCTAACGATAGCATGGGGAATTCGACATCAATAATTCGGGGACCCTTCTCGAAGTATGAGGGGTACGATCCAGCTTCACATTGTTAGCTCTGACGTCCTTCGCGGGTTTTGCCAAGTTCCGTCGTTGGCCATCAAAGCAACTTACAGGAAGCGTCAACGGCGGTAGTCTGGGCCTTACACTTCTCCTCCAGAATGCTTTTGACATCATTGGGTTGAACCAGGCCAGCGACCTCGTTGATGCTCATCTTGGACCGGATCGAGCTGTCTTTCCCGAGCATCTTCGCACCTAAGCGGGGTGCCGACTTTCGCGTCGAGAAGTCGGAACTGTGCACACCAGGCTGGTAGACGACGACATAGTAATCTGACGGACAGGTACTGAGAGATGAGGAAAGGTTCTCGAGGAGTGAAGTTCCTGTCTGGATGTAGGCGGAATTCGTCAAGACCCTAAGGGAGGACCGATTAGTTAACCGCAGCGCGAGAGATTCAATCAAGCATACTCAGAAGTTGAGGCGAGGAAGAATGGCGAAGTATCTCTGAAAGCATTCACGGCAGCAGCCCCAAGGGCCAATAGCCCGAAACTGCTGAGATACATTGTGTTTGGCGTGGGGATGGGTCAAGTTGGCGATGATGTTGCCAACGGGAGGTGTCCGACTTGGCCTCGGAGGCGGTCGAGAACCCCGACCCGCCTGAGCTTTCCATATCAACTTTTTTTTTTTTGGCTTTTGACGCAGTTTCAACACAACCTACGATATACAAAGGTCTACTCTCGATTCGATCCAAATATACTTGAGATTGGGATTTTCATTCACCATGGGTCCCAAGGATTTGAAAAAGCGCAAAATTGTTGCTGGGCCGAAAGTTGAAGAGGTCAATTTCGACGACGAATCCCGCCATGAATACTTGACTGGGTTTCACAAACGCAAAGTGCAACGGGCCAAACATGCGCAAGACAATGCCGCCAAGAGATACAAAGAGGAGAAAAGAGAAGCAAGAAAAAAGGTTCGATAGGCTTCAATTTGTGCCCAAAGACACCCACTAATTTTTCTAGATTCGAGAGGATCGCAAAAGAGACTTCGAACAGGCAATGGCGGAGCATAAAGCAGTACTCAAGCGCATGAAAGAAGATGCTGGAGATCTCGGCGCAATGGAAGGCGAGAAAGAGGAGGAAGATTGGGAGGGAATTGAAGAGCCTCCAGCAGTGGACTACGAAGCCGAATACGTCGACGAGGACAAATACACAACAGTCACGGTTGAAGAAATGGATGCATCCCGTGAGGGTCTGCTTAAGGCTGCCAGGGGGGAGGACTCAGAAAATGAAGAAGAGAAAAAATATCCGGTCGAGTCGACAGAGGATGACACAAAGGCCAAGAAGAGAAAGCCCCGGAGTGCAGCCTCAGAAGCAGCCAGGAAAAAGAAGAGGAATTTCCGCTACGAGACCAAGGTTGAGCGCAAGCAAACAATGTTAAAGCAAAGGGCTGTGAAAGCGAAGAGAGCAAAGGCGCGAAAGGGGGCAGAGGAATAAGGGAACCACATCTTGAAAGAGATACGACATCACATGTGCATATACTCGGCTTCAAGCAATTATTCATTAGTCAATTTTACAGATCATAGGCGTTTGACATCATGGGAGATACAAGGAAGATGCAGGAAATGGTAGACACCGCAGTGCACGTTGCATGATAAAAAAAGGTATTGCTATCAAAAGCGCTGTATCCGGTCCATACACTTGGGACCAGTGTAACACAAACAGTCACAGCATGAAAAAGCAGATGACAAACCAGAGAATGAAGCTTGTATCCAACCATATGTTTCCCGATATCCTGCACCTATCACCGGTTCGAGCCAGCTTAGATATCGGCCATCTGGGATGCAAGGTCGTCAAGCTCCTTCTTCACAGTGCTGTGTTCCTTGATCGCATCCTCGTATCTTTGCTCGAGCTTGGCGTGTTGGTCCTCGAGCGCCTGCACCTTCCGCTCGTAGTGACCAGCCTTGATATCCGTTTGGCGGAGCCTAAGTGCCCAATATGTCAGTATGTAACTGTGAAAGAACCGGCGGCTGATCGTACTTCTCATTGGTTTCCCGCAGAGTCTTGTCGTTCTCCTCGGCCTCCTCCTCAAGAAGCTGCACCCGTCGCTGAAGGGCCTCGTTCTGAGTGTCGTGCTGGAGGCTCTGGCTGGCAGCATCCTTAGCCTCCTTGAGGGCGGCCTCTGTCTTCTCAACCTCCTCCTCTAGAAGCTGGTTGCGGTGGTTCAGGGATGTGATCTCTTGTTCTTTTGACAAATTCTCCTGTTCCAAGGTCTTGACCTTGGCCTTGAGCTCATCGACGAGCTCGTGAGCCTCATCCGCCTCAGCGCGAAGGGCGACCATGCGCTAAAATAAATACCGACACATTAGTAAAATATTCAGTGGAGAAGTGATGGAATGCTGGGGTGGTATGCATATATGCATAGGAGGAGGGGCTGTGTGATTTTGGGAGGCAGTCAAGCTACCCCGCCGGCAGGGGAAATGACTTACCTCCTTGATCTTGTCCATTTTAACGGTATTGAAAGGGAGTAAGGAAGATAATATGTATGGTTGAAAAGAAGAGTAGTTTGGCTTTCGCTCAGCGAGAAACCGGGCGAGTGTTGGATGGGTGTGGAAGATGATATGGGGAGAGTTTTGGGAGAGAAGGGGAGGAATAAAGGCTGAGCAGGGAACAAGTAGACAGTACTAGCCCAACACGTACGAGCTCCACTACAGGGGAAGTACCGGATACTTACTGTGTACCAACGGCGTACCCGTGGTATGGTTAGGTACACAATCCGCTCTGGCTCGCAGCCAATCACCGCCCAAGGATCGACGCGTCTCCACGGGCAACCACTTGACAACACTTCCAGGGCTGCATCTAGAACTGTGCTGGCTCTTGATTACACTCAACACACTTACGACACGACTTGGATTTCTTTGATACGGTGCATGAGAACCAACAGCTTCAGTTGGCCACCATGTTGGCTCTTCGCGACCAGGAAAACCTGGTAAATACCCACCAGACCGCCGCGGCTGCTAAGCCCTTGAACCAAAGCAAGCCGCTGGCACCCAAGACACCCGGCAAGGCACGAAATGACGAGAACAACCCACTGGCATTTGGAAACCGCACGGTGAAGGGCAATGGGAACCGCCAGGATAATGGGAAACCGGGCAACAACGCGTTCATGACTCCAATGGGTACGCGTGCTGCGCGAAAATGACAGATTTGCAGGTGACGTTGGATAATGACTGACTTGTCTTCTCGCGTATAGTGAGGGACCGAGCTCCTCTGGGCATGAAAACGACCAATCTCAAAGCCAACAACCTCCAAACCCCTGCGCCCTTTGGGGGAACCAAGCAACCGAGGACAAACCGCAGACAGTCGACTGCCCAGAAGATCAGAAAAGCTGCCCCAGTGACACAGCAGGCCCAAGCCAAAGTCCACATCGATGCTGCTGCAGATGATGTACCGGATATTGAGTACATGCCGCCGAAGCCTAGAGGTACGCTAAGCACAACTAGAGCTGCAACCCAAAAGCTTATTTCTGACGAGCTATAGATCTTCCGGACCTTCCAGACGATGTGACATATGACACTACATTCCCCCAATTCCAACCGAAGAATCGAGCTCTAGGTTTGGAGAGTGTTTACGGAAAGCAACAAGTCGGCAGCGATGGACTCACGGCGAAACAACGCAAATTCCAGGAGGATTCTGCGGCGTGCGATAGGATGGTGAATGACATGATCATGAAACAACTCGACGACATTGGTTTTGAGAGCTCTGGTGAGAACGAGTCGACAAAGACACTTGAGCCAAATGCTATCCCCTCAAAAAGACCTACAACCACCACACGACACACTCGCAATGTGTCGACGCTCCGAGCTCGTGATGCTGTCGCTGCGCTTGGCGGATCCCGGCCAACTGTTGCACCTCGAGTGGCCCCAATCCCAAAGCCACGGGTGGCATCGTTGGCATCGTCGCTGGTTATGCCCAAGAGGCATGCCAGAGTCCCGTCTAACCCATCTTCCATGCGCAATACTGCTGCCGTTGTCAACTCTCGTACGACCGTTGGCTATTCCAAAGGACGCAATGTGTCGTCTACCCTGCGTGATAATCATTCCCAAACGCAGAAGCCCTCGAGCTCGCAGGTCCTGTCTCCCGAAACTTATATGCAACTGTATGGCCCCCCTCCGCTGGACTCGGAAATGTGGACTCGTTGCAATGCTGCTGGATGTTTCGATGCCCCGGACGAGATCACCCAGGAACCGGAAGAACCATTGCCCACGTTTGACGAAGATGATGAGGCCCAGAGCTTCCAGCTCACTCTGTAGGGGTACATTGCGAAAGATACTTGACATCGACAGGGGGATTACAATTTTACTTCAGTATGGTTATGATTTGGCATGTGGAGATCGACATTGGCTCATATGGTGTAGGGGTTTGGCGGCAAGCCGAAGGATGCCGGCGTTATGGAATAGTATTAATGTACTTGTAACTGGACAGGTTGCAGCCCTTCAACCGCAGACCAAATTGTTTCAGGCGTTCTCCACTCTCATGATGATCCTTTGCCAAGAGGTAGACAGGCGAGGGTCGCACACCAAAACTTGATTAAGTGTGAATCCTCAATCACTGTTAATCGCTGTTGTGTTCACACAATTTTTATGAATCGGAGAAACACACTACCCACTAGCTACACGGACCCCATAAATCTCTGCGACAATATTTCACGTACCTTAGTGGAATTAGTGGAAAAAATAGAGCCCAATGGACGGGAGAGTAAAGTAAACTCGGTGTACCTCGCGGGTACCAGGTCCCCAGCCAGGCCGCCCGGGTAACGGCAAGTACCAATCATGTACTTCCAGGTACATACCTTGATCTAGCCCACACCGCCCCGGAATTGCCCATAACTTCTTATTTACTCTCTGGCCTCTCCTTTTCCTCTCCCATTCCTCTCAATTGACGCTTCGCCGCCATGACGACCATTCATCCGGACTCCACCGAGGAGTTCGAATACATCCAGACTCCGGCTGCCCCCGCGCAGACCAAGCCTGCCTTCGATTGCGGTGTCCCGACTACCCTGGTAAGTGCATTCCTAGAGCTATCCGTGACCGATGTTTGGTGATTCCAGGGCCTAATTTGCTTCATTTCCATTCAGTACCCGACTATTAAGAATGCCCCAGTTCCTGCCGACTCTCCCGGCAGCGACAGCTTCTCCAATGGCTTGATGATCGCTCTGGAGATCATCGTGCCCTGGTGGCTGGCTCGCCAGGTTGGTGGAGGTTTCTATACCACCATCTTCTTTGCTCTCTTCACCTCAGTTCCCGTCCTGGTGGCATTCTGGGCTGTCTCTTCCTCCGTTTCTCCTCGCAAGACCGAGAAGGCCAAGTACTGTGGCCGCCCCGTCGAGCACTACCTGCAGTTCCACAGCGAGCACGATCGTGCTACCTACCACGGCAAGAGCAAGATTCCCATGGAGGTCTTTTATGAGAAGTACTTCAATGGTGAGGTTGACTTCAAGGGCGATGCTCTGGAGTGCCTCGAGTACCGTCATGACTGGGCCAACTTCAAGTTCACTACTGGTCTTTTCAAGCATTTCCTGTTTGGTTTCATCCCCGAGATGCTGATGCACACTCGTTCTCAGGGTAAGCGACTCTTCATGCAGCTCTGGTGGCAATTCTAACATTGTGTAGATGAGGAGCAGGTCCGTGATCACTACGACAGAGGTGACGACTTCTACGCTTGGTTCCTCGGCCCACGCATGATCTACACCTCCGGTGTGATCAGCGATATCAACAGGGAGGAGACCCTCGAGGAGCTCCAGGACAACAAGCTGGCCATTGTTTGCGAGAAGATTGGTCTTAAGCCCGGTGACCGGGTCCTTGATCTTGGCTGCGGCTGGGGAACCCTTGCTAAATACGCCTCGACCCACTACGGCGCTCACGTTACCGGTATCACTCTTGGCCGTAATCAAACCGCGTGGGGTAACAATGGTCTTCGCAAGGCTGGTATCGAAGAGGACCAGAGCCGCATTGTGTGCAGTGACTACCGCGACGCTCCTCGTATTGAGGGTGGATATCAACACATCACTTGTCTCGAGATGGCCGAGCACGTCGGTGTCCGCCACTTCTCCACTTTCTTGTCTCAGGTTTACGACATGCTCGACGACAATGGTACTTTCTTCCTGCAGATTGCTGGTCTCCGCAAGTCCTGGCAATACGAGGACCTGATCTGGGGTCTTTTCATGAACAAATACATCTTCCCCGGTGCCGATGCCAGTACTCCTCTCGGTTTTGTTGTCGACCACCTCGAGGGCGCTGGCTTTGAAGTCAAGGCTGTTGACACCATTGGTGTGCACTACTCTGCTACCCTCTGGCGCTGGTACCGGAACTGGATGGGCAACCGCGACAAGGTCGAGGCCAAGTACGGAAAGCGCTGGTTCCGCGTAAGTTTCTCTCAGGATTCTCCCAGTGGATCTTTCTGAGGTCCATGCACTTTCTTACTAATAATATCTCTAATTAGATCTGGGAGTACTTCCTTGCTTCCTCCACTATCACTTCCCGCCAGGGTGGTGCCACCTGCTGGCAGCTTACCCTTGTTAAGAACATCAACTCTACCCACCGTATTGAGGGTATCGCTACTCAGTTCGGTCTTGCTGGAGCTCGCCAGAGCGCCATCGACCGCGCTGGCTCCCTTCCCAAGGCCCACATTGTCAAGAAGGACCTTTGAAGGATTGATGTACAATCATAGCCATCATCTACTTCTCCGAGGGTACATATCAGTCCCCCTCAGACTAGTATGACGTTACGTGAGGCGCGGCAATATGCTGATGTGTTCTACTGTGAACATATTCAAACTTATAACCAAGCATGTATGACATGAGTGACATGACGCGAGGTGAGGTGAAGCTAGGTGAAATTGAATTGCGTGAGTGGTCGTGGAAGAAAAAAGGCAGGAGCTGGTAGCGAAAGAAGCATGGATAGTCAGAGGTCTATCTGGCTGGTCCGCCTGGATATCTACTTCGATATTTATCTGTGGTCGTGCGTCTATTTCTTATGCCTCACCCTGTCTAAGGGGAATATTTGTACGAAGTCAACGAGTCTGTCTTTGTCATGTTATTTTTTAAGAAGTCAATGACTATTTCTTTGGACCGATACTTGCAGCATATCCCTTCGCTTCTTCGCTTCGAATCAGTAAGATTGCTCCACTGAGCCCATTTCACAGGTGACCAGTTAGAGTTTGTACTAAGGCCATGGAGCTCGCAAGATAATGCAACAGAATTCTAGGGCGTCAACTTTCTGCTGGCATCAAACTCTAATTGTATCGTCTAAAAAAGTCGTGATATGTGTCTATAAACCGAATTCGAGTCTTCAATCATTAGGTTCGTCAATCACCAAAACTTTCATAACACCAATTAGATTTCTCGACAGCTAAGCGTCGAGAAGCAAAGGAAAAGAAACAAAAGACCAGGATTGCGATCCAATAGGATAAATGGTATATGTAAAGAGGGAAACAAAGGCAGGATAGATGCAGACGTCAGACCCGGTTGACCCTAGGTAAGTATTGGTACAGTGAAGAGTAAACAGAAATCCAGGGAAATAGAAATTCATGCTTGTCGCAGGCCCAGAGATCCAATCCAAGGAGTCTAAGAAAGCATCGTGCATGAGGTTACACACATCTAGTTGATTGACCTCCAAAAGAAAACAATAGGCGTACAAGGGCATGTGGTGAGGTGTTCCACACACGCCGGGTGGAAAAAAAGAAAAAGAAAACAAGAGCCAAGCTCAGTTCTCATCTACCGCTGCTCTAGCATTGGATTGGGTATATCCGGGGTTTTGGTTAGGGCAAAAGAAGCCCGAAGACTCGACCGTTGTGTTGGGTTGAGAGGGAGAGTTTTTCTGTGTCGCATTCTCGTTCCAAATCGCTTGAGATACTGATCAAAGACGAAAGGTTTAGGTAAATTTAGTCCGCGTCGAATTTATGGTTGTATTCTCCGAGAAGGACGTCATCTGGGCCCGGGCCATGGGTATTTCGAACTAGTGCACAGAAGCGTGAGTGGAATTGTCCGAAAACCAGGATAGTGGTGCATGGGTCACACGGCTGGGATCAGGGGGAGTGCGGATGCACAGGGGGGAACATACTCCATTCAGCTTCCGTCCGGAAGAACACCCACATCCAACGTCGTACAACTTCGAGGAACATGAGTATCCATAATCCGCTTTCAGTCTCCGAAATCCAGCCGAGGCCTGGGACAATGCGCCATAGCCATGAGAAACGAAGCGCCAGATCCGCGATAATGACGTAGTGGTACATCTTGTCAGATCCGAAGTAACGATGCCGGCGGAGTCCATATGGATGGCTGCTGTCGCGAGATTCCGAGGAAAATAGAGTCATATCCCAATCCTTGACGACATCCCACCAGAAAGAGTAGCCGGAGTTGATAAAAGAGACGAGAAACCTGGGGGTATTAGAGAAGGCATAGACACAACACATGAGGGATACAATCTTACAGAAGGCGCATCATGCTAACCTCGCTATATCCACGTAGCTCCAATGGATTGTAGTTGCGCATTTTGGAGGCTATCCAAATGACCGGGAACGCACTTGCATACTTGAGAGCGTTGGCCAAGTGCTGGTTTAACTTGCGCGTCTCTCTCCGGGTGACTGTCCGCCGCGCACGATAATATTCAGTCAAACACTGACGAAGACGAATCAAGCTAGGAACAGCGAGGATGATCGGAACGACGATTTCACTTCCACAGGCCCGGTTGGGCTTGGAAGTAGCGGCGAAGCCATCGGTGAAGAACATGCAGAAGCTGATATACAGATCTCCGATCACGCGAGCATAGCTAGTGAGGGCATCTGCCAGCAGAATGTCACCAAACTTGCCATCCTTCGACTCGGCCAGACCGCCAATACTGATCCGCTTGAGGGTAAGGAGAAAACGGATTCGACCGGAGCGGGAGGCGCGGTTGAAAGGCCAGATCAGAATAAGGAGGAGAACGATGTACACCGACTGCGGGAGCCAGTCCAGTCGCTCAACCAATTCAGGGGCTCGGCGAGTGACTACCCAAAAGACGATGAACCACAGAGCAAGTGGGATAGTAAAACATGTGGCCAGGCGGTAGACGGCGATGTGATGTGGGCGTTGCGAGGAGGATGTGCGGGCAGGATATTTGATGAGCGCCGGGACGTCCTGGAAGTATGGGAATCTGATCAGCCGTCGGGAATACGCTGGCTAGGTGAGGGGCGTCACTCACGATGTTGGCTTTTGCCAAGTATTGAAGGTTGAGTCCCCATCCCCAGAAACCTAGCTCCTTGTGTTAGCACACTCGGGACCGAACCCGATCGGACAGGAATGTCACCTACCAGCGACCAAGATAGCAGCTATACGTAGCGGTAAAGGGAAGATCAGCCCAAAGGCATCCAATTGAGCATGTTGATCAACTGCCATTATTCCATTGATCAGGGGGGGGGGAGGCGGGGGGAGATCGCAGGAGGAATAAAGGGTTGGAGCAGCAACAAAGACCCCTTGGATATGTAACCAAAAAGGAATGACTAGAGGTGAGTCGACGTCTTTGAAAGTCCGGAAGTTGAGACTTTTCCAGTTTGAAGCCGCTCAGGGCAGTTTAATAGGCGGAGAGGAGGAGAATACGCGCCTGGACTAGTCACAGTCCGCGGATGGTCTGGAACCCCACAGCGTCAAATTGGGTATATAAAATTAGAACTCATTCGAAGCACATCGGGAGGAAGAGCCTGAAGCGGGCGATTTTTACGGGATGTAACTACTGCCAGAATACCAACGTATCCATGTCATCATCGGATCAAAGGGAAGAGGCCAAAGCCATGGACTTGCGATTCAAGGCCCCTGGATTTCTTCAGGAAAAGGGGTACCGAGGAGAGTTACCAAATCAGGTACATTCAGCCACTCGAAAGCCTCCCGCATTCGTCTGCCACAACGTCCAACCTTTCAGGGCCCTGGGAGGTTCTGGCGGTGGGGACCAATGACGCTTGCGGCGTATGGTCACCGTGTTACGGTAAGTTACGGGTATTTTTGAAATTATGTCATTGAGGTCATGGGGCAGTCAAGAGGGCACGTGACACTGATCTAACCATAACGGGAAGTCAGCTGATGTCACTCTATACCGAGGCATCACATCCGAGGGCAACTCCGGGGAAATTGTGATCTCCACCAGGTACGAACGTCGGGGAATTGAGCCTGGGACTCGTCTTGGTAGCTATACCAACCCTCTATAACCCGTCATGGCCGACGACGACTCCCATCTCTCTCTATCAACCCCGAACTCAGCCCTCGGCTCCTCTACCTCTCACTTCTACCCTTTCGCAACCTCACCAGACATCATCCGCTCGCATGAGAAGGATTCATTCCTTACGGGCAGTCTAATTCAACAATCTCAAGGGATCGTTCGTGCTCTCCGCGGCGCCCGATACGCCCACACCCACTCCGACGCCATCAAACACCTCACAGAACTCCTCTACTTCTCCCTAACAACCGCCATCGGCAACCGCACCCTAGGCGAAGAATACTGCGACCTCGTACAGCTAGAAGATGACACACTTCAATTGCCGTCAATTGGCCGTCGCGTGGGGTACTTCTTAAGCAGCATTCTAGTACCGTGGACACTGCAGCGGCTACTACCTGCATTGCGACAGAGGATCCGCAACAAGCTCGAGCGCAACATTGCACGCCAACAGTCACGAGCGGCGCAGCAGGCTGGCCTGCTCAACAAGCCCCAGTTCTCAACCACCCCGACTAAACGGCCGTTGTTTACGAAACTGCGCATCCAGCAGTATGTCCTTGAACACCTGGACTCCATCACATCCTTGTCGCCCATTTATGCGCTGAGTATTGCCACCTTCTATTTCACAGGCTCGTACTACCACATCTCCAAGCGGATTTGGAGCCTTCGTTACGTTTTCACGAAAAAGATCGACGACAATGAGCAGCGCATCGGATATGAGGTTCTGGGTGTGTTGCTTGTTCTCCAAATCGCCGTGCAGGGATTCCTGCACGCCCGCAAACTCGCCGCGAGCATGAATGAAGATGAGAGCGAGTCTACAGACGCTGGTCAGTCTCCCTCGCAGGGTGGAGCTGTTCTCGCTTCGATTCAGAACCCGTCCTCTATTCCTCTCCTTCCTGCGTCTGTGCCTCTGTATGATCTCGAGGAGGATCCTGGCGCTGTCTCATGGATTCCCGAGGGTCAGCAGCGGAAGTGCACCCTGTGTCTGGAAATGTTCAAGGACCCTAGTGTTACAACCTGTGGACATGTCTTTTGCTGGATTTGTGTTCGGGACTGGGTTCGTGAAAAGCCCGAGTGCCCGCTCTGTCGGCAAGAGGTCTTGCTATCTAAGGTGCTTCCTCTAAGAGGGTAGCTATGTGGTTAGCAATAAGTTATAGGCTAGTGCTCTCATTATCATGACTATCGCTGAAGAGATTAGCGCAGTCGATACATGTGTATACACTTTTTTGGACAAATATATACCCCCTGTTTCTATTTAATCCGAGCATGGTTTTTATGGACTGTATGGTTCGATTGAATCTTGACATAGATCACCCAACATGCATTTCTACAACGTACATATAGATCGAGGGCAGGACACAAAGCACCATAACAAAGGGACGAAATAAAGAAAGAAAAATGCCTCTCTAGATCGAAACTGCACAAACATATAATCTTTTAAAACTTTGGCAAAATAAAAGAGTGGGATATTGAAGGGATAAATAAATCTAGGTACATGTACTCAGTATGCATATATACATGGTCAAATCAGTGGGTCCTCTTCGCCGTTGACCGCTAGTCCAAGTGGAAGAACAATGGGTTGGTTGAGTTCAGCGAATGCGGGACGAGGTGGCATTGGGTCCATGGCTTGTCTTTTCGCTTCCATGATATGGAACAGACGAACGCAGGCGTACGGATCGGTAGCAGCATCTAAAGAAGAAAACAAGATTAGCATCCAAGGAGAGAGATTGTGCAAATCGAAGTACTCACATTGAACTTGACGATAACTCAAATTCCGAGTCCAATCACCGCAGCGCACATCGTCACTTTTCTCGAGAGGGAGACCGAAATGCTCGTTTACTTGCTCGCTGAGATTGACGCCTCTCTTGTTCACCAACTTAGGATTGTCTTTGCCGTATTTGATCAACTTGTACAAATGACTGAGCTCGAAGGTGGCTTTGGCATCAATGCCGAGATACTTGCGCAGCCGTGTGCAGTCTGCCTTGATCGAAACACCCACTTTAATGACGTCGGGAGATTCAACGAGGCGTCTCAATGACGGAGAAACTAGGTCCTCCAGAGAACGTGCAGGCTTGAAGAGTGCAACCTGAAAGATGGCGATACGTTCCTCGTTTGCTATTTGGATCACCGAGACATTGCTCTGAATGCTGTCGAAGCCTGAGGCTTGAGCCTTCCATTCCATGTCGAATCCAATGACTTTGCTCCCGAGGAAGTGTTGCACGGCTTCTTCGGTGCTTTGAAGGGTCCGGCAATAATGCACGATGAGTTTTCGGCCATCGGGGCTTTGTTGTGAATTATGGGTCCAGAACTGGGGCGTCGTAAGATTGCTGGCACTGGAACCAATGTCTGAAGATGGAATTGGCTCAGCCGTGGAATCATTTTGTTCAGCAGATCCTGATCCGTTCGTGGGATCCCGGACCGAGGACAAATGGGTTTCAAGTGGCCGTTCAACCAGGGAAGTATCACTGGCACCACTGCTTTGTCGAAGCTGTGCTTGGTGGAAAATTGCACCCGTGCTATACTTTCTCCCATCGTTTGGTTCTGGTTTAGCGAATGTTTTCTTCGGAAACATCATTGGTCGTAGTCTGTTACGTGTCCTTGTGCCTGGGAAGTGAGTGCTGGTTTCTCTTGGACCTGGCGGACGGAGGTCATCAAGACGTGGCTCCGTGCTGAGGCTCACGTCTTTACTCTTCGGAGGCATAGGCCGTGGCTTGGGAAGAACTCGGCTAGAAGCCGCATTGACCAGGAACGGGTTGGACTCATGCGCGTCGAGGCTCCTAAAGTTTCTCTTCCGGGATTTGGGTGATGACTTGTAAATGACCTGACTGTCCTGGCCGTCCTGACCGTCCTGATCGGTAGGCGCATTGACTAGGAACGGATTGAACTCATGCGCGTCGAGACTCCTAAATTTTCTCTTCCGGGGTTTAGGTGATGACTTGTAGATGACCTGACCGTCCTGACCGGTAGGCGCATCAATTGGCAGTGGTTTGTATTCAAGATCATCCTCTGTTGTTTGGCCCTCAGTCTTTATTGTCGACAGATCAGGAGGCACTCCGTGTTCAAGGCGGCTCTCCCCTTGACTGCCTTGGTCAGCAGCTGACTCGGCTGCACCCTCTTGTTCGATTCCCCTCCTCACCTGCGTTCTCCATTTCAAGGAACTTTCCTTGGGTATCACAACTGGACCGGACGTTTGATTGCCCTGATTCGTAGGCGGAGACTCGATATGGCTCAACGATGGCCCTTTGATATATCTTTCGAGACGGCTTTGAGATAATTCGATGAAAGCGGCCTTGGCAGATTCGGATTCCTCTCGTTCCCTACGTCTGGCCTCCATTGTGGAAGAACCTAGCTCTAATATTTGGGAGTTTACGCCAATGTTGCGCTCAATCTCGTCGTGGATGAGCTCCCACTCCGGCCGCGTTAGTCGGCTGGCCATCAAGGGAATATAAGCCCCACAAGCGAGCTGGCCCATGCGATCGGTCCATTTCTTGAAGGCACGGGTATCCTGACTCAGTGGGTTGAGCACTTGAAACTTTCCAGCAAGATAGACACGTTGTTTCATTGAGCGTAGCAATGATTCCGATCGAAGACGCAGCCAGTTTAGATGTATGTATTCAGACACCATCTGTCGAAGAGCGCTGCGATGTTTCTGGAATTCTATACACCAGTCGGCTATTTTTGAAACAGTGGAAAACCGAGTCTGCCCAGAGACCCTAGTCCACAATTCCCCACTATCACCTCTCAGGCTGTGGTAAAGGTACCAAACTTCATTTTGAATTCCCCATGTGACAACTTCAGTCATGAGCAGTGGCGCTATTACATCCAATTGTCGCCAGTAGATATGTAGCTTAGGGCTGCGTGGCGGTTTTGGCCTCCAAAGCTGGTTGTATTCGAGGTAGATCTTGTTGGATATCAGGAGTGGACTTTCGTCTAAGTACCGAGCCTCCGGGGAGTCCTTCGGGGCACCCAGCGCAAGTGCAAGCAAGACCCGCCTGTCAGTAGCTTCAGGAGAACGTGCGGACGAAACTGCCGTCATGAAATCCCTCAAATTCCATAGTTCACTGTGTCGAAGTGGATGCGAAGCCATCTGCCTCCTGAGCCAATATGCACGGTGGTGATGCGCACATTTACTAATTTCGAGATAACTATGCTCAAGGATTTCTTTGTACTGGCCAAACACCCATTTATCGGTTGCGCGAAGGTTCGAGCGTGCTTGAAGGGACGAGCAAAGGTCCCTGATAGGAAAAATTCGTGTGTTATCGCTCTTCAGTCGTAACTCCACGTAGTTCTTCTGAATCAGATTGCTTTGATGAAGAATTCTATCAATTTGTTTTCTTGCGGTATTCCGGGGTCGTAGGAAATCCTTGTCGAGATAATTTTTCAATCGATGGATGGACAGCTCGGAAAGGTGAACCAGAGGTGCAAGGAGTGTCTTTTGAGACGTTTGAAGACACTTCTGCCAACTATGGATCTTCTGGGCGGACATTGCCAGTTCGCTTTCCCATTCTGGAGTTCTACCAAAAACAATACAGCAGAAACCATGATCAATCATTCGACCCGTCTTCTCTGCTTCCGCGACAGCAGCCTGTAGTCGTTCCAATCCCATTATGGAAGATGAAAGCTCTATCACTTCGGCGACATATTTTTGAGTGATCTTTTCTGCTTGCAGAACTAAATTCGTGTTGTCTGAGACCATCCTTACAATTCTCGCGGTGATGGTACTTGACAGGCTTTCCAGTTCAGTCGCACATTCTTGGGTGGTCTTTTCAGCATGGAGAACCTGTTTCGTTATCCGTGAGACCACATCATTGATTCGATTTTGAAATGTTGATTCGAGAGCTCCATATTCAGCCTCATAGGCTAGTATGGCCTTGATAGATTCATCAAGAAGATCATCGGCACGTTTGTACTTCAGCTGGATATAACTCCCAACCAATTCCTGATAAGAAGGCAGCGAATTAAGCTCCTTCTCAATGTGCAGACGTTGAGAGACTCGGGATTTCCCCTCTGCTCTCGATCGGATCAAGCTGCCTAAGTCTCGATGTTGGACAGGGCGCACAAAAGCAGACCGGCCTGGAATTCGTTGTACCGGTTTTGATACGGGCTTTGGCTCTGGAACTTCATCATCGTCATCCCATATGCCTTCTTTGCGAGTGGTATTGCAGAAGTTCCGCTTGGATTGAGAGGCCGTGGGCGGGGCGTACGAGGAGCTTGTATTCGGTAAAGACACATGTCGGAGCCTCGGGACAGATCGAGCGCAAGCACTGTAGTTTAGTCAGAAAAATAGCCATCAAAGCTGAAAAGGAAATAAAGTGTGCTTACTGCTGACGCTCGAAAAGTCCTAATCGCAGTGACCCATAGGATCTGGATCCATCGATGTGACTGCTATGTTTTGCAATCGAAGACTGGGTCTTCCGACTTGCTAAAAGATTCGGCCGCATTGGCATAATGTGTGACAAGCATAGTGGACCAGCCTGGAGCCCCACAAAGCAATTGAATAAAGTCGAATTGATTGACAACCAGTGGTAACTCAAACGAAAGTGCGGCTAGAAAATCGAGTGAGGGTCAGGATATGTAGTACTTCATGTTGCGGAGCTCTGAGCGCGCAAATCAACTTTCAGAGTTTCCTCTAAACCATATTTGGATTAGTCTCTCGGGTCGGATTATCAAAGGTGCCGAGCGACAAACGATCACGTCCTTTTCTATATCGATCTTGCCCACGCGGAATGCTCGATCACCTTTGTTTTAAATCAAGACGCTTTCTAAGAAAATAATTACGAGCACATTCATTTTCTGTCTCCCAACATCATGGCTTCTCAGCTACTTCCCCTTGGTCCGTGCCTAATGACCCAAGAAAGCCATGACCCCGCTAACTGATCTGATAGAGCTCATTGATAAGTGTGTTGGCTCCCGGATTTGGGTTGTCATGAAGGGTGACAAAGGTCAGCTAAAAATTTAATGGTTGAGCACGAAACTGTTCTAATGCTTATGAAGAGTTCTCCGGCACTTTGCTCGGATTCGACGACTACGTCAGTGAGTATCCCTGCATAAGAAGTGACGATCTCACCAGGCACTAATTTCGATTTAGACATGGTTATGGAAGATGTGACAGAGTTGTAAGTGGCTTGGCTTTTCGATTTTTAGATTCAAGCTACCTTTTTCCCTTCTGTGGCTGTGCTGCCTTGGCTCCTACGTCTCTGCGCAGTGCGATTTGCAAATTTCCGCGAAATTCTCGACAGGTCATTCTGATGATTGTGCTCTGGACTAACCTCCTCTCAGCGACTACACCGGTGCTCAAATCAAGCTCCCTAAGCTCTTGTTGAATGGGAACAATATCTGCATGGTAGGTTAAATTCACCCGAAGGCCATCTGGATGCTATACTAACTCTTCCACCAGTTGATTCCCGGTGGTGAAGGCCCCGCGGCAAGCTCATGAGCTCGAGATACCCAGTTTTTGCCGTGACGAAAATAAAACTTTGTGTATTAATGATACCGAATCCAACGAGATAGAACAAAGTCGTTGAATGAATGAAGCTCCATTTCAAGCGTGATTTTATCTCACCCCAGTAGCATGTGGCTCAGTATTGAAGTAAGACAGGAATAAGCTGTTGTCAACACCAAGAGAATGTGTTCTTCGCCTAAAAGCATATTCGTTATTATGGCTAGTCACAGCCTAGGCGTCTTCCGGCGAGAGGGTCCAGCTGCAACCTCCAATGATATACGAAAGCAAGTATGGAGTATGCAGGAACTACTCTGTAGCCCACAAAAGACCTCGGGACAGTCAGCGGTAGTCAGCGGCAGCCGGCAGCCGGCGGTCTAAGATAAGCTCGCCAATCAGAAGTCGTCTCTACCCGAGACCAGGGTATCGACGGCTAACCTCGGGCGCCGCGCGCTCCGGCTATTAACAATATTGGAAGCATCTCATCGATACGAGTAAAGGCCGTTTGCCGCGTGCTGATCGGACAATTCTTTGGTGGATATCATGGTGGATGTAGAGACGCAATTGTTTTGACTACTCCACATTTAACGTGTTCGATGGCTATGTTGTAGTCAGTTGACTGCTGTTAAGTGGAAATTAATGATGGAGAACCTTAACGAGCAGGTGATTAGGATGTGATCATTTAGAGTACATTATTCAATGAATAATATATATTATAGACCTGCCTATTCGGTAGATCCAGACATGTTGTAGACTGGCCGAATAGTAGTGCCATGCCGTAGAGCTCACTTTCGAGAGTCAGCTCTGACTCACGATAATACACGCCGTACGTGATGTGATCTTTCAATGGCCAATCTAAAGTAAATAAGCTGCCAGGACCTTGGAAAAGTGGCACTTGGCCAGGGACAGGAAAAGGGGTCGCGGTGCACACGGGATGTCAGGGGGCTGCAGGTGCAGTATCAGCCGTCTGCGGATAATCATGGATATTCGTTGAGTATTCACCTTCAATACCCCAAATTCTATCATTCTGAAGATCTCGGTGCTGTTTCATTGTGCTGTCTTTCCCCAGACTCCAAAGTTGACTAGTCAACAAGTTATGTGGAAACTGTTACCTAACAGATTGTCATCCCCGCATTTTATATGCACCTAATGTTGACTTCGTATTTACGACAAGGCCTGTTTATTCTGGTCATGTTCAACATGACGGTTTTTGAGCTGGGTCTAAACTATTGGATACCGAGCGCCTCATGGACTTGAATGGGAACTTCCGACTTGGCTGTCGGGAAATATGAAGATGCCGAGAAGGAATATTAGAACAAATGTATGGAGTACAATATTGGATGTATATTGTGTCTTTGTCCATTCCGTGGCGGTGGCGAAAATCCCAATGCGCATTGCGTGCTGTTTGGCCCGGGCTGGACTTATTTATGGGGAATTTCGTCGGCTTGAATAACCTCAAGTGTGAAATGTTCGGAGTACTCCGAGGATAATATAGACATTTTGCGGGGTATTACCCGTGACTTCTGTTGCTCAACCTTGGAACTTGACGAACAGCCTTAGAAAGGTCCACGCGTGGCCAGGTGTGTCTAAGGGGGAGTGTAGATTTAACCGATTCCACATGAGCACCTACCTATGTAGGCAATGTTGTACCATAACCCGGGCGCAGCCGCTGACCTTTCAACAGTCAGACTTGGCTCTATCATCTATGTTGTAGTCACCGGAACACAAATAACTAGTCATCAATCCTGCCCGATGCTACTGTGGCTGTCTTGTTGCGGGAGCGTGGCCAGTAAAATCAGCTACTGCGCGCCATCAGCTCGGAAAGGCTTGGGTGGCTGATAGTCAAGCATAGACTCAATCCAGCTCAGGCCGAAGACGGTGCGCCTTTTTCTCGCCCCCCCTTATGGTCTGACCGCGTTGCATGGACCAAACCTTGGAAGTCGTAAAATTCCCTATCTCAGAAAATGGTGATGCGCTTGACCCGCAATGCGGACATGCAAGATAAGACTGGTGGGCCCGTTTACACATTTCAATTTGGCCACAATGAGCTTCTCTCGAGTTTACAGTCACACGATTGTGAACACCTTGAGATCTTGCGTTAGCCATGATTAATGATTAATGTGATTAATGTTTCCTGGACGGACATGTCCGAATCCAGCGGATGGGCCACAAAAGTCTATTGGCGGACCTAGGGCATCCTGATCAAGGTGTTGTGAAAATTGGCCAGTGATAATACGAGGGTCTTGCTGAACACGCCGACACCAGGCCAATCATTAAGTCTATGTTGTATAATGAACCTCCTAGCACACACTCTTGGCTTTTTGGGAGGCTTCTCCCGTGCTTCCATGCATATCACAAACCGCCACAGCCACGTAAAAACCTTCGCGTCGAAAACGCCGACGCATAGAGTTTGCCTACAGGGTCTCGTGGCGCCATCCCTCATCCCCACCAGAGCTCATGCCAGTCTCTAGTAGCGAACCCGACCGAGGCGGTTTCAAATGTCCGCAATCAATCGTCTGCCTTTCTGCGCACATACAACACACACACACAGGCCAAGAGGCTATACCGAGGCGACGGGCAGGAAAACTCAATTGAGGCAAGTTTGCGAACAAGCCTCAGTGGGGCGAATTCCTCGTCCATATGGCATTGCACGCATATCCCTGTAGCCCATAGCGCATGCCACAGGAACGGGGTCCGTCGGGAAGCCTTCCCATAGGCAAGGGATGAACGACGAGAGGAATTCCCCTGCCGTCCACTGGTCAGCACAGTAGTGTGAGTATGTTTCTTCCCAAGTAAGGTTATCTCGTTCCAAACTTAGAATGTCGGTTCTGCGAGATAAAGGTCTTCTAGAAGGACGAGAAGCGGAAACCTTGGAACTCGCGGACACTATGGAGGACTCGTTCCAAGGTTCAAAGGTTGCCCCGGTGGAGGTCCGGGGGAAAGGGATGTGCCCAGGTGTGCTCTTATCTCCCGAGGTTTCTCTGATTGGGCAACGATCGACTATCGTCCACGGGTAGAGTGCGGAGAGACTGACAGATGGGGCTTAGTGGATCTGGGGAGTTGCCTCTTTCGGGCTCCAGAAGCTTGGCTTTTCCCTGTCCACCTACAGAATATTAACCAGATGAAGTCGTTCAAGGGTTGTTAGTATGACTGCATGGATTCAGTAGTCATGTACTACGAGTCAGGTCATGGCGATAGTCAAGCTAGGGAGGTGTAGATATTAGACATCCATGAGGTAGATCCTCCCGTCCCGTTATGACAGTCTAAATCACGCGAGAGATAGATAAGTAGTGGCGCTACCGGGGTTCCACCTGCAATAATTACTATTTCGCTTTTACCTTTTTTACCTTTTTGCTCTAAAACAATAAGATAGTCGGGTGAAACACTAGGTATGGAGCTTCCACCTCAGGATCAAGCGGGCTTATCTTAGGAACTTGAACTTGACCGTTTGCAGCCTTGCAAGGGTATCTCACTGCATATGTATGAATCATGATCAGGATCGTGTGTAACTCATAGCCTCGCAGAACACTGAGTAAGGAGTACAAATGCATCATAAATCTTAATTAAAAAGATAAATTGCCTAGTCGCGGACTCGGGACCCAGAGCATGCCAAGGTTATCAGAAGATTAAATGCTGTTAGTGCGGAACTCTAGATGGTCTAAGCGCATGAAAGCAGATAGATTTAGGTGCTTTTGATTTAATTTGATTCGATTTGATTATATGGAACGTAAAAATAATTCCATCGCTTTTATCTGAAATCGGACTGGTTGTATTTATACCCTCCCCCCCCTCCCAAACGGCCAACCCTCTACTTGTTTCACCTCTGTGTCGGTTCATTGACCTTAACTCCCACAGAACCTTCGGCTTCAGCGAACAGATACTTATTTCTGTCCTGAAAAATACCCACTCCAGAAGAGAAAAATTTCACATTCTCACCATGGATGAGAAGAAGTTTGAGGAGCACACCGTCCAGACTGGATCGGATGCTCCCCCATCCTATGGCGACTC